GGTTTTGTCTTGACTACCAAGAAGAATCTAGACAAAAGCAACTAATGAGGTAGAAGTCCCATTTGTAATATAAAGAGATAGTTCACTAAACAGATTGGTATTACCATTAAAATCAGAAGTAAATGAAGAGCTAATTAAGCACAGAAGTTTTGCTGCAAGATCCAAACTATACTAAATATGAAGTTTCCTGCCAAGAAGAAATATAATCTTCCCTAGTGGCAGAAGTCAGAATTTCATGACATCAGCCAGATAACCACCAAAGAATGTATCCTGTAATACAAGCTGTCTCTAAGCCATCATGAAACTATGCTCTCCCCACCCAACTAATCGACATTACTGATTTCTTAACAGACACGTTCCATTTCAGCCATACTTTTTAAGTTGACAGGTTGAACAGAGATATACCTAAAACATTAGCTGTTGAACACACATGTTCCCCCTTCGTTACTGTGCAATCTTTCTGAAAGTTTTATGTCTTGGCTTTGTGAACTGTGTGGCTCCCCCTGCTGGTAGGGCTATCTGTCTCCAAGCTGTTGAGCTGTTTTGTTTTGATCAAGGTAATAACACAAGAGCTATGTGCCCCTCTAAGGGGAGGTCTAAACTTGACCATGTGGTTCTGTCATGTCTCTTTGCCACTTACATGTAACCAGTGAAAGGGATGAAAAAATCGTTTTTCTTCTAATCTTCTAAGTCCTTCATCAGAACCTCTATCCCAAAGGTGGTTAATAAGAGAAAAACAGAACAAATGAAGTTTATTAGCATGTTGTAGGGAAGGAAACATAATTATTACTCTACTCTTAAGTTCTAAACTGAGACTTAGATAATAAGACAAGATTAACAAGGGAAGAAAGAATATTAATATGTGTGTACTTCATGTATGCATGGGTGAGACCCAGAGGGAAAATGAGTTAACTCTAGAAAGTATCATAGAATTCAGACTTAGCTGTCATCTTTACAGGCAAAGACAGAGTGATCTAGACCTCTTTAGGGAAAGTAAATGATTTTTAGAAAAGATGAATGGACACTTAGAATATCTGGGAGGTAGGGCAGTTCAAATTTTTCCAAGTATGGTGTCAGCTTCTAGTCTCCTCTCCTGTGATGACTGCTTTCCCTGGTGGAGGAAAGTTATGACAATTGAGTTATTTTTGGAAGCTCTGTCTTCAGGCAGATAAGGGGTATTCAAGAAAACCTATCCCTGTGTTTTCTTTTTCACTTGAAGTGCCTAATGCATTTCAATAATTGCCTATTTCAAAATTGCATATTTCAGGGTAGCTTATTCTATCACACTTGATGGTCAATGTCCCAAATAGGGGATGTTGTACCAGTCTGGCTCCCAGAGTGGAGTGAACGTAGAGCAGAGCTACACAGAGTATATGACTGACACTTAAGTTGAAGGAGAGCAATCCTTAGTTGGCGGAAGCCACTGAGGTGTGTAGAAGTGCTTGTTACTGCAGCATAACCTAGCCTACACGGACTGATACACCCTAAGAGCTGAGAGTTTCCCTCACATCTAAAGAGAGCTTTTATGCATTAAAATAAAGTTTCAATTTTTATTCTATATATTTAGATTATATATTGTAAAACTTAATTTTAAGTCTTAAACTCTATATAATTTACAAACTGATACATTTTATATTAATATTTTATTAGCCAACTTTATTTTTGATTAATATACCACTGGCATATAAATTTGAAAAGGTACATTCAATATGCCAGATTTCTAAAATTCAGTTCTATAACCTTAATACATTTGGTTTTCTCAAGCCCTGCAAAAAACTAAAAAAGCATTCACATTCTAAAAACAAAATATTCCTAAACATTTAAAACACACTACATATTAAAAGTTTAACCTTATAATAAATTTTATTATTATAACCTAAACATTTCAGCATTGACTTTGACCTTAATTACCTGTAGCTTTGGATTATTTATTAATAAAAGTCTAATTCATTAGTCTCTTTACTCACTTTTTTCCCCTTAAAAGTCAGAAAAATATACATAAAATATGATTACAAAAGTTATTCCTATATAAAATTTATTACTAGATATAACTTAGCTTGTCAGCAAGAGGTCTATGAAAGATTTGTCTTCTGGCAATTACAAGGTATTTCAGACCCCCCTACTTCCTGCCCTAAAACATGCTGCTCTTCAGGAAGCTCTGTACCTTCTGTGGTCGTCTGCCTGGAATGTAGAGAAAATGGATCTGCAGAGCAGCCCCAGAGACCTCAAAGGAAAAGCCAGAAATTCACAGTAACGTTTGGCTTGACAGCCTTGAGATACTGAACTGAAACCCCCAGGTATTTAAGCCAACGAGGTCCCATCTGTTCCTCCAACACAGGCCCTTGCTGATATGATGGCCATACAAACACAGGAGACCAGAGAAGGCGGAGCACAGAAGAGGAAGAACTGCCTCTAAGGGGAAGATCTTAGAGCAGGGTGGTGTAGGAGGAGTTGGGGAGAGAGGCGAGATCTGGCACCCTCTGTAAAAACAACTGCATTTAGTAAGGATTCCAAGTTTACCTTTCTTCCTCATGTGTAAAACAAGGGTTCAAACAGTAACAGCCACAGTCTTGCTGCATGACTCAGGTCGGATATGCATCCTGTGCTCCATAAACATTAGATATAGTTATTTTAAAGCTGTGTGTCCAGAGTGAATCAGAAACACAGGCTGGAATATCACAGGAAATCCAAAAGTCCGTTCTTTCTTCCCCCTCCCCTCCCCTCCCTTCCTTTCACAACTGTGCTTCTGCACACCAGCTTTAAGTCTTTATCTTTCCACAAATCAGCTTTCTCCCTGTGGCCATGATGCCTAAACAGTCACAAACACACATTTTAAGCTTCCCAACACCTCCATTCAGTCTTCCATTGCACTTCCAGTCCACATCCCAATGCCAGAGAAACTACTTGTCCTACCTGGAAGGAGACGTCCACCCTGTAACAGAAGAGCTGCACGCAGAAAGAACATTAACTCCTGCTATGAGCGTAACAGTTCCAAAATATGGAGCGGGAGAAGCAGGGAGGGGTGCAAGAAACACAAGAAAACAGATGAACAACACGTCCATTTTCTCTGAGTGCAAGAACCCCTACATGTGTTCTACAAGATCCTCATCTTGACCAAATTTCAGTTGTGCATCTGAGTTTTCTTCTGGATGAGGCATCTATTTTGGTTTTCCATAGCCATCCTGTCTCTGTTGGGCCTGCCCAACCCAGACTTAGTGCACAAGCCTCCTCTCTCTGATCAAGTTCTTCATTCCCCGCCTGTGGCGTGTAAGTCAGAGTCCCTTAGCAAGGGTCTCCAGTTAGGCCAGTTTAGCCAGACTCTCCCTACCTTTACTGTCTCCTTTTGTAATTTTCCATCCATTGGCACCTCCTCCCCTTCTTGGTTATAAATTCCTGCTTGTCCTCGTTGCATTTGGAGTTGAACAACTAAAAGATAAACTTAAGCACATTAAAATTCTTAAGTTTATTTGAACAAATATCAACTCAATTTGGGGTGCAGTTTATGATCAGATAGAAAAGAGCTTCAAGAAGCTCCTTTCACAGTTAAGATTTTTATATACAGAAGGCAGCAGGGAAAAGGCTATCACCTTAGAAGACAAGGTAGACTGATTACTTTTCTTTGGGGGCTGGCAGAGACTAACTAGCAGATTACCTAGTACTGTTCAGGCAATTGATGGTTGACTGGTTTAAGCTTCCATTTCAGTCAGAAACTATAATTAAGCCTCAGTTTGGTAACATGAGGCTTAGTACAAGCAACTCCATTTTGGGTTTGCTGTCATTTTAACAAGCCTGACTACTGTGCCCTGTTGCAATGCCTCACCACAAAAGCCTTAACGAAGTCTTCCTTACTGATTTAACAAGTATCAGAATTTCTTCTTTAACAGTTCAAATATAGAACGGGTTTCATCTCACCTACTGAATCCCAGTAAGTCAAAGAAATATGTTTTTAAGAGAACTGAACTGAAAAGAACCACCAGTTTGCACTGAAAGGTACAGAAATAGTCCAAACTGAAGTCACTAGGTTCCCAATAATTTAGGGATAGGAAATAGGCTAAGTAAACTATATAGCTACACAACAGGCCTGTTCTTATGGAAAGGTGGGGATGAGTTATAAGGTGCAACTGTTGGTGATACTTTCTTGGGACACTTTTCTTGAAGGTAGCTCTGTGGGTAGATACCTGATAATTAAAAAGACAAGTCACTTGGCTCCCACAATTCTAAATACAAAGTGAACAGGGATAGGATAACTATAATAGATAGTCTCTTTCAAAATGTGGGGATGAGTGAAGTCTGAATAAGCTTTGTAGCTTATAGTCCCAAAAGCTTTCCATTGGTTAAGTAAAAGAATACAACATATTCAACAATATGGAGATCACCAATGACAATGAAAAGCAGTTTCTGAAGAATCGTGTGTGTGTCTGTGTGTATGTGTGTGAGAGAGAGAAAGCCTCAGTGCTTAGTGAAAGTGATGGTATTGGTGGACACAAGTTGTGGATCTTCCTGAATTCCCACATAAAAGCAGAGCAACCAGATACCATAACCGAAGAACTATGCATAACATTGACAACAAAGTGGTGAACCCCATAGCCCACATGCAGACAGAGGATGAATCATGCAAAGACTCAGATAGCATCAGCCTCTCTGTGAGAAGCAGCAGAGAGCCACAGAAAGAAGAAAACAGAAAGTAGACTGTAGTTGCCAGAGGACAGAGACAAGGGGGTGGAGGGGGGTGCGGGGGGAGGAACTGCTACTTACTGGGTAGACTGAAGCTAGGGGAGAGGAATTCTGGTGGTTGGATGCATAATAAAATGATTGTACTTAAAACACTGTTGAACTGTACACATAAAAATGGCCAAGGCAGTACAAATTTATGTTACATAATATACATAATTTAAGAAGTCAGGTGACTAATCTCAAATAAAAAAAAAATTACAAGCATTAAAATTTAATCCCAAGATATTTTACTAAAAACAAGAAACAAGTACTATGTGGCAGTACTAAAGAAATTAAAGAACTAGGAAAGTGAAGATGTAATCATATAGGTAAGAGTCCATGTTATATTCCTTACATCAGTTCCCAATCAAGGGAATCACAAGTTAATTTTAAACTTTAAAGCAAAAGGCATAGAACAGTCAAATCTTGAGAATATAAAACACCTTATTGGACTTAGCCAGCCTTCTTTAAAGACTTAGCCTAATTATCAGGTTTAAGACAGTGAGAATAAGAAAGGAGAAGCAAGTCACAGGCACTTAGAGAAAGTAGGCAAAATGCTGGGGTTATCATGATTGCTTTTTCATTTTCAAGAATCAGAACAGACTCTGAGGATGCTTAACATTTGAAGACAGTATCTTCAGAAGACACTATCCCAGAGGACTTTAATTATAAGCGTATCTTTAAAAAGAGAAAAAAAAAAACAAAGTGCTTTTCAATTTTATTAAAGTACAGAGTTAACAAGTTTTGAGTTTTCTACATAAGAAAAGACTAGTCAACTTTCAATGTTTTATAGAAAAATTAGCGTTAAAAAAACAAATATAAATCCATAGTTGTCTTTATGACTAAAGGGGGAAAATAACTATTTTAAAAGTTACCAAAAACTCTAAATATATCCAAGACCATTATAAATTCAAACAGTAGATTTACATTTTCAAATTCTTAGATAGCAAAACTTAACCATAAAATTTGGCTATAGCTAGTGATTTCAGAAAATTTTTAAAAATTAACAGTATGATTATAGAACTTTTGTAGTCTTTTTTTCCAAAGTAAAAAACCTTAAGTCTTTAATAAAGGACAATAAAACAACGCTCTTAAATTTCTTATAAATAGCTCTCAAGACATATATTACACCACAGCCGAGGCTTCTTTTACCTGAGAGACTCTCCCAGGAACCCACACCCCAAAAGGATTACCCTAAAAAAATTCTTCCATTATTTTACTCACACAAATATGATTAAACTCATGACGAAATGGATTTGGGCATTTGTATTCTGAATCTGTCCTTCCACAATTAAGTGTCTTCTGAAAAGGTTTTGTTGTAAAAATAAAATGAAACAAAAACCTCTTTGGTAAAAGTCCAATTATTACTCTCTTTCAAAATGAGCTTCTGCAGATGATTTACTGAGGAAAGAGAAAGATCTTTAGAATGTCCACTGTTAGTTCTAAAGACCTGTGTAAACAGCTCTCCAGCCCTGTGGCGGGAGGTCCCACCTCTGCCAGATGCAACGCTAGATTAAAATGTCTGGGCTTTACAAAGTGACTAAAAATGGCAGGAAACAGGGCAGGGTGGCCTTAAGATCAAAGTCCTAGGGAGTTAGTTTGATTAGCAAATTAAGGAAGTCATCCCACAGAGAATTCCAGAACTCTGTAAACCAAGTGGCTATGCACTGTTCCTGATGAAGGACACTCCAGTGTTCTTCCAGATGTGCAGGGTCTCAGCCTCAGGTCACACCCTTAGATGTAGGGTAAGTCATCTGGCATTTCCAAGAGCCCAGCACACATCAAAAAGAGGATGCCATCTTGAAAGGCAGTAAAGGGAGAAAAAAGACTCAAGCAGGCCCTGGAATTATTCCCCCTGATAAAACATGAAGCACCAATGGCAGTAAACTTCTGGCCAAAATTAAGTAAGTACATACTCTTAAAAAGGTAGAGGGAGACAGTCTGGGAAAAATTAGCACTGCATGGACTCATTCACAATGAAGCATCCTCTGAGGAACTGGAAATAAGAATGTGAGGTGGAAAACCCCAGTGAACCATTCCTAATGGGCACCAGGATCCCAAAGCTCCAGCAACCTCACCCTCTGAACAGCTTATGTGTACCCCGACTGTTAACTCTACAAAAGAGCTCCAAATATAGGCGGTAAACAATTCCTTTAAGCCATCCCCTAGAAACTGTGAGGACAAAACCAAAGCAAACTAACCAATATACATAGGAAGGACAAAGTAGTGTTTTCGAAGACTTCTGACAGAAGTCTGTGGTCTTCCATCAGGTCCTCTACCTGACATGTCCAGGTAGAGGACAAGACTCCTGGAAGGACATGGCCCTCACTGAGAGTGCTGTCAGTTATGGAAATGAAAAGAAAGAGGTTTCTGCACTGGATGAACAAACAGCAGAGGGAATAGACATACCGTTGTTTTTTTGTTTTTTTTTTTTTAAATCATCAGTTTTCATTGCTAAAGGATTCTGACTAGCAGGTTTGAGCAATGCACCTTTGGGATGCACTTGTTAAATCATGTACAAAAAGGGGTAGGAGGCAAAAATCTATTATTTAAAAAAGGTTATCAGTGAATCTATCAAACCCCATTGAAACAGTAATGCAAGACAAATGGCACAATTGTTCCAGTTTCTGAAAACATAATAGCACAAAAAATGTAGTTCTTTGAACACATGAATATTGACTTATCACCTGAGTATTATTTATTATAATTAATAATCATTAAAGTCAACTTCTTATTGATAGACCCTCAGTTCTCAATAGCATACCCACATTACTCGCCTTCATTTTAGATAAACTTGACTAAAGCTCAGTTAAGAAGAAAAATCAGAGTGACTACTACTCTTCCTCTTGTATCAGGAATCCAACCTCCAGAAAGAAACTTAAGGCTGCAAACTAAGTCTTAGGTAGCTCTCAATCATGGACTGTGTAGAGGCCACTCCACGCCTGTCACCAGAAATGACCTATCCTTTGTGTATTCCTAAGCTTCTTTCTGCAGGAGTAGGGGCAAAAGAGGTCAACAAGGGAACACAGGGTCTTGTCAACTTGACCTTAACCTGCTGTCGAGGCCAGTTCTTAAATCACGCAGGTGGCTGATAGGCTGAGCTAGATGCCAACAGGCAGAAAACGTAATAAAATTAATTACGGACCCCACCATGGCTCTTGATCTGCCTCTGCTCATGATCTTCCGGAAGCCAACCTTGGCTTGCCCGGAGTCCCCCTCACTGCACCAACCTCTAGGCAGGGAGGTACTACCCACATAACCACATTCCCACATCCTGCCCTGATTCACAGAACTCTTGTTCACACTAGATCAATCAGGGACTGTTCTTGGTGGCTATAAATTTGTGATTAGATGAACTTTAAGCTGCAGAACTAGAGTTTCTGGCCTTAGAAAGGAATGTGATAATGTTTACAGAACAAGGTTCTCAGACATACAAATAACAAGCAACTTTTAAAAATGAATCACAAACACTGCAGACAAGGTGATGCCGAAGGAACTCATTCACTCCATTTGTTTTCCCAGGGGAGCAAAGCAGTAGAAATGAAGAATAACTAGGAGTGCCAGCATTTTGGCACACAGGAGCCCAGCGTTGGTGGGACCCAATTCTACCCAACTCAGACAGCAGGACACAAGAAGTGCAGGTCAAGTCTTCTTCTTACACCCTCTCTCCTGAGGAGGTTAAGCAGATTCCTTCCATCTTGCATGCAACATTAGCACATGTCTCCAGTGGAGTCTCCAATAAACTATCCACTGAGTAAACTTCCCTGATGGAAAATGTTGACATTGACACGGACCTCTGGGGCAACTGCCCAAGGAGCATTACTTTACCATGTATTTTGGAAATTTCTGTGAATGTTATGGCTTAATTCAGTACCTTCACCATATACCTACTCTTCTTGATGCTTCTGGTCACTTCCACAACTTGTATAGCAGGCCTTGCTTGGTTGGCGCTATCTCAATGCTATGTGGGAGCTTCACTTCAAATTTACTCCCCCCCAAAAAAACCCATAATAGGCATTTTCAGTGCAGTCACATTACAGATCTGGAAAACAAAAGCCCTTTTGTTTACAGAGCTTCACAACGGTGGAAGAGAAACTGAGGGTTAGCCTTGACAGTGGGACAGGGGAACAGACAGGATGCAGTCAAATCTTAATAGTACAAACAAGTTAAGAACAATAGACCTCCAGGTGTAGGAAAAGAAAACAATGTGGATATTGTTCCATAATCACGTGCATAACAACACAAATAACAAGTCATAATTACGGCAGTTAACTCGGGGTCAGGTAGTGATCATATGTGAGTACCACACAGGTAGTGATGGCAAATTGTGCTTTTTCACATTATAACAAAGATGCAGAACCCAGAAAAGACGAGGGGACCTCTGGAAGAGCCCTGCTAAGTTTTATGTCTGTGATAAGAAGTTTTGACCCAAACTCTTGTTTTGGTAAGATCATACTAGCCTAACGATTATCCCAGTTCTTAGGGGTAAGACTCATACAACATATACTGTCTATCCCTCATAGTTGGTTACTTTGGTTGAAAATTTCAGTTCTTTTGGGACAAACTGGAAGTTCCTTTTCAAATTTCACAATTAAAAAGCTAACTAGATCTGTTTCACAAAACTTCTTCAGATCCACCCAAGCCAGCCAGGGGCTGCCAGCTTTTGGGAACGTGCCAGTCACTGCTCAGTCAGGCCTCTGGGCACTTGTTCCAAAGATGTCCCTTCTAGTCTGCAGGCCTGCTGTCTAAGAGGATGGCTCCCGTCCTCACACGGAGAACTGCCGAGAGGGACAGCAGAGGGGAGCCAGCAGAGTCCACAGGTACAGCAGCACGCACACCCAGCAGGAGGCCATCTTGACCCAGAAGATGGACCAGCTCCCACTGAAGAAGGTTTCGATGTTGGCACTTTCATAGCTGTGGAAACAAGAGGTCCAGCTGAATCAGAGCAGGAAGAGGCAGGTGGGGAGAGGTTCTCTTCCACAAGTGTCTCCCTGCTGTCACCCCTTCCAGCCTTTCTTTTTTTTTTTCCTTAGCAATTCAATTCAGATATAATCTACGCCTTTTTAAGGTACACACTTCAAGGCTTACGAAGCTTGACTAACACCGTAATTGACCTCAAAACCTCCTCATCACCTCCAAAAGAAAAATCCTATACTCTTTCATCGCCTTCTTCTACCCTCCAGCCACCTCTAGTCCCCACCTCCATCAGCATTTACTAATCTTTCTGTCTCTGGATTTGCTATCCTGGGCATCACATATAAATGGATCATGTGGCTTCGTATGACTTTTTCCACTTAGTATAATGTTTTTTGATGGTTTATCTATGTTACAGGATTTATTAGTATTTCATCTGTTTATATTGTGAGAAACATTCCATTGTTTAGCTATAAAACATTGTGTTTATGCATTCAGCAGCTGACGGACATTTGGGCTGTTTTACTTTTTGGTTATTACAGATGAGGCTGCTATGAGTATCAATGTACAAGTTTTGGGATGTGTGTTGGTGCTGCTTTTTTCTCCTGGGTATATAATGAGGAGTGGAATTACTGGATCACATCATATCTCTGTTTTACATTTTGAGCAACTATCCAACTTCTTCCCAAAGTGGCTGCACCATTTTATAGTCCTGCTAGAAATGGGAGAGGATTCCACTATCCTTAATCTTCAGTAACATTTATAACATTTCTATGATCTCTTCTTTTTTAATTCTAGTTACCTCTACCCTTTCTGAAGCTCCCTTATCAAGATATCCTAGGAATTCTCAAAAGCATAACTGAGAAGCTTTGAAGCTTCTTCCCACCTTTTTTTTTCAGGATATGCAGGAAGCAAAATGCTGAGGACGTATTTCCTCAGTGAAGCTTCTTAGGTCACTCTAAAACCACTGCCCTTCCATCCTCAACACAACTAGGTACTCTCCTCCCTCTTCCGGAGGTAGTGGCAGGAGAAGGTAGGTCCGTCATGTATTGTGAAGTTAAAAAATAAAACTCAAGGGGGAAAATGTGCAAAATCATACTGACATTAAAAAAAATCCAGAGGCTTAATACATAGAAAATGAATGCAAGGACAGATATCATATACTGTTAGCAGTGGTAGGGGGCGGGGAGGTAATGTTACTCTTTATATTTCTACATTAGAGCTTTTTAATGTTAACTTTTATGTTGAAAATATTTTTTTTTTAAAGGAGCAAAATACCAAGAAAAAAAGGAATATTTTTCCTTTCTTAAGAGCAGTTCATTACATAACAATTCTAAGATTCCCTTCATTAGCATAACTGTTCTCTTCAAATCTGCCTTAAGGCATTAACCTCCCATTTTGTTAAACTTGCAGTAGGGACCGCCAATTCCCAGATCTAAACACAAGACCACAGACTATGAAGAACTCAGAACTGTTTCTGTAAAGGTTGTGAAGAATGCAGGAGGTGGAGCTAGCCCAGGCCATCTAGAAGTGTAGATCTGTGTGGCAACACTTTAGAATAGTACACAGTTTTTCTAATGTCAAAGAAAACGGGACACTCACTTGAACCAGTTGGTGACAGTCATCATCACATAAAGAGAAGCCAACAAGAACACAAAGTGGAAATAGGAGTAGCTGTAAACGGTGCCTTTCTTCTCGTCATAGATAACCCATGGACCCTCCTTCACATTCTCCTGCTCTTCAGTGTCTGTGAACCATAAAACCAGCACAGCCTTGGTAAGAAAGCAACACACCCACTTTCCACAGTCACACTCACTGATTTCAAAGCCAGGGTTGCTGAGTGGAAAAAAAACTCAAAGCCATTTATACCCTCAGGCAGTTTTCACCTGTCATAAGTAAACACCTCCCTTCTCACCCCAGAACATTCTTTAACAAGATTAATTACCTATCATCACCTTTATTTTAACAGTGTCCTTAAAGAAAATAATAACTTATAAGCTCAGAAGAGAGTGAATAGGACCCAAAAGCTCTCAAGTCACTGTTAACCCAAGCTGAGAAAAGTTGAAGGAAAGAAATGGCCCAAAGATGAGGGGTCAGGATCTCTTGGTATTATCCAAAGAAATTTTCATTCCTTTAAAACAAGTCCCTTCTGTTTTCCTCAATTTCACTGTGTAATTTAACTTAAATAGGAGCCAAAATACTTATTTTCACTTGCCAGAACAGCAACACAAAGCCCAGCAACCTTTCAAGAAGAATATGAAAAGCATATAAACAGATAGCCAGCTCTGGAATAAAAATTTCCCCATATGATTCAAGCTATTGTGTCTGAGTCCCAAATGTATGCAGATCAGTGCGCTCCAGGTCTGCAGGACCCCAGAAACACACAGAATATAAGTTGTCCACTTACCTTCTCCATCAGGGCCGAAGCAAAAACAACACCGAGCTTTCTGGGGAAGCAAAACCAAAAAGTCAGGGGTTTCTTTCTGCCTTCCTCTCTCCCTAGCAGTAAAGCTCTAGAGGGCACCTGTATGCCAACCTTCCCTGCTGGAAAGGTATCCCAGGCCCCGAACTGCACACTTCATCCTTTTAGGCGGTTTGCCTCAGCATCATTTCATCCCAGAAGCCCTGCGTACAGGTGACTGGAAATAAAGTGGACACGGTGGGGAGCCACCTAAAGCCCCCTCAAAGGCACGTGTGTGCACAGTGCTCATGGCTGCTGTGAGCAGGGTCTCTAGACAGCACCTCCTTGGCATGACCCCAGTGGCAGAGAGCCTACCTGCCCTAGAGCAAGCCCTTCCTGGCAGGCCCAGCCACTGACACAGGGGGACAGCTCTGAGGGGCATACTGATCTGAAGCAGCATGGGGTTAGCAGGGGCTTTGTCCAGCTTGTATGAGCCTTGACTTGACTCTGCCCAGCTCTCCCCCCATCCCTGTCCTTCCTTCCGTATGTATCTCTCTCTACACATCAGACTCTGCCTCAGCATGTGCTTCTGGAGAATGTGACTGAAATACAAAGTGAATAAGACAAACTTCTCGCCCTGTTCTAATCTCTACTTCATTCAACTGTTTCCAACCTCTGCAGCTGGGATTAATATCCTGTTTACAGTTGAGGAAACTGAGGTCAAACAGGTTAAATAACTGACCCAAATTTACACAACAGCTTAGAGCTGGTACATAAGGGAGGAGTGAAACTCCAAGGTCCATGGTTCACACAATTCTAAGCGGGGCCTCCCTCTTGGTACAAGAGGTTAAGTCTCAGCACTATAAACTATGAGCAGCCACTGTGGCATGAGTTTAGTCTCTGGCCAGGGAGGTGACCCACATGGTGCAGCAGCCTTCTTCCTGTCTCCCCGCTGCTCCCCTCAGCAGTGCATTTCAGTTGATCCTCCTGTTCTGCTCCCCACTTTGTTTCTTGTGAAGCCTCTGACCATCTACATTTCTGGCCTATACCCCAGCTCTTATATGCACAATAAGTAAATGCTAAAAAAAAAAAAAAAGACTCTAAGAGATGGTGGTGGAGTTGACAGACTCAGAAACAAGAAAGCTAAGGGATACGGACAGGTGGTTCCCTGGGAAGAAACTTTGGTGCCTTTCAAGTTGTGTTTCTTATTTACTCAAAACAATACAGTTAATTTTAAAAACTCACCTTCTGAAAAATGAATCCAGAAGGCCTCTGGTAAACAGGGTAAGAAACATAACATGTACCAAGACAATCTGGGAAATGTAGGGCCCTGTTCCCCCTGAGCCCACATGGCAAGGAAACTGGTAAGTTAGGAATAAGCCCTGATAGAAGCTTGGATTGAGTGACAAGCTAAGATTCAGTACTCCGTTCAGTGGTCCCAAGACATGGCAGACTAAGGAGTCTTCTTTCTTTTAAGCTTCAGTTACTGTAAGAAACAAGCCTCTCTTTCAAGGTGTATCCTGTGAAATGTGATGCAAGGAGGGCAGACTGACTTCCACTCCACATGCTCCCCAGTTCAGAAGGAAACACTGGGGCCATGGAATGAGGAAGAAAAACATCCTCCCCTCAGTCTAACTTAGAAACTTGCTGTTCTTTGAGCTTTCACTGGGTACACAATAGGGATATTGAAGCCATAATCATCCAACCTCAGCAGGTGGTCCCCAGTCCTGGTGAGAACAAAGACCTGCCTTTTAGAGTCCATTCTCTGCTGTATAGTAGGCAGTATCCTATTCAAACTTAGCACAGTTTTCTCTTTTTTAAGTGACAGAAAGACCTGGTGAGTGGTGCTGGCAGATTGACAAGCCTTCATAATTATTCATCTGCAGGTCAAGTGCAGGAAAGACCATCCCCAGAGACGCAGCTGCACAGCGAAGTGCCCGTATCTGGACAGACACCAGGGCTCTTCCATCCAGGGAGAGCCCATAGAAAGCAGCCAGAGGCCTAATGCCAGCAGGGTGAGCAGCAAGGCCTGCACACAGCGGCTGGGCTCTTGGGCAGCAATGGCTGGGAACAGACTGGAGCCAGAATGCAGTTTAACTGCCAGCAAACTGAAACCTGCAGGATTTAAATGACTTAACTTTTACAGAGAATCCCTCTGTCAAATGGTGCTCAGACTCTCACTGGGGTTTTATTAGGATTAAATGAAATCACATGGTGGGCTTAGAACAGTGGCTGGCACCTGGCAAGCACTGTAAGGTTGAGCCACCACTGGAACTGCCTTGATGAGGCCTTCTTGGACCTTGGTGGACATTCCATGAAGGACCCCAAAAGGAAATAAGAAAGTAACACACATTCTGCAAGGCGTACAGGCATCTGCTGACCACAGTGATTTGGGGGCACCTACAGTTCACCATTCCTTTCCCAATGAACCATCTACCTCATGGAACTGATACAGTAGTTAGGGTCAAGTATAGACTGAGAGAGGCTTGTCTCACTCTTCCTTGTCTATCTCTTCTTCAGAACAGCTATTATATAACCTCATGGTCATGCTATGCATGGAGACCACAGACAGGTATGGAAGATGAAGGAATGGACTAGAAGTTTAAGAAGGAACCACATGTGCTCTAATATAACAGGAAAAGAGTGGGGGTGGGGGGTGAGGGCCCCCCATGACAAAGCCACCCAGGCCTCTGGTAGGAGGTGGGCAGCAGGACGCCATCTGGGGGCCAATTTTGTTCAAGAAAGTCAAGAAATCAACTGATTACTTTTAAATCCACAGTACATGGACATTTCTTTTTTGTAACAAAAAAAAAAAAAAAAAAAAGGCCTTATTCTTCTGTCCCAGGGAGAAAAGTAGGATCCTGGAATATGGACTAGTAAAAATGCAAATAAACATAAATATTCTTTCTGAGAAAAGGGCCTTCTGAGCTGAGGCAGAACACAAAGAGGACACGAACTTACCTCCTGTTCAGTAGCTGCATAGCGGCCCTGCAGAGCATCAGAACTTGATCTCGTCGTTGATGTGAGACTAAAAAACAAATAAAAGGACCCGCGGGGATTACAATTGAGATGGAAAAAAAAAAAAAACAAACAAAAGGTCAGCAGTGCACATTAATGTGTTATGTCACATCCCAGGAAGGGGACAGTTCCATGGACAACGCTGCAGCCAGAGGCTCTGACATTTGTTCTGACATTGTACGGTAAACTAGTTTATACCCACCTAAATTCCAAAACTGGCCAGCCAGTTATTCTCCAGTTGATGCCTACGTTGAGTGATGATGTAGATCATTTATGTGGGAAGAAAAGACTGAAGGTAAGGAAGTAAGATGCCTACTGGCCCACTGTCTTGTTTTCCACTTCTCCCTCAAATGCCATAATTTTCTGATTGAGCTTTATTGCTGACTAGTCTGACGTACAAGGTAACAAAAGCAATGAAGAATCCAGACCCCCAATAAAAGGCAACAGTACAGATAGCAAAAGTCAATTATTTCTGCCTGCAGCAGGGCAAGGGTTTCTGTTTGGAAATTCAACCTAGAATAGATGTCACTGTAACCTGCCACTTTCTCCATACCTAAGAAAATAACAGGCTACAAAATTTGGTTTAGGGAAGAAAAAAGCGTAGTTATCTTTCCTGAGGAAGAAGAAAAAGGGCACAATTTATTTATTTATTTTAAAAGATTTATTTATGCATACAAGAGTGGGGTGCAGGCCAGAGGTGCGGGAGGTGACAGGATCACCAGAGACAAAGTGGGGAGCAGAACAGGCAGACTGACTGTTCTATACACTGCTGAGGGGAGCAGTGGGGGAGACAGGAGAGGCCTACTGCGCCATGTGCGTCACCTCCCTGGGCAGGGATGAACTCATGCTGCAGTGACTGCAATAGCTTCATAGTGCTGAAACTAACCCTTTGTGCCACCAGGGAGGCCCCAAAAGAATACATTTCAAATAAAGATCAACACACATAATACTTAGGGTTCTAGCTAATTGTCCATTTGCTTAGCAAACACTGACTGGCAGGCTGCCATGTGCTGGAAGTGGAAAACACCAATCCTACTTGCATGCCAACGTGGAGGTGGGCGGCGGCCTCCCTAGGGGAGAGGCAGAAATGAAGACTCACTTCAACCAGACAAACCACCTGGAGAACAGCCCCTCTGCTCACTCTCCTCCCCTTCCCCAAGCAAAGGAGAGATGGATGAGATGCAAACAAGTAAGACAAAACCTTCCTCACAGACACTCCAGTGAGAGCCAAGCACTGAGCCTGGTCAAGGCTGGCAGCAAACTCTTTCTGCTGGAGATCAGGAAGATGCTCAGCAGTCCACTCCACTCCCCAACTGGGAGCCTGTGGGCTGGCAGAAACACTTCCCAGAGACTGCATACCCAACTAACGCACCCCTTGTCTCTGTACTTGAGAGCGAGCTACATTTTGTGTACATTATAGAGTACAGTATAGAGTTTCCATGCTGGGAAATGCAGCTTTTAATTTTGGCCAAAGAGCCATATTTCATGTTATTGATTATTTAGGATAAAATTATTTCAGAAAAACAAAGACTTTGATTTTGGCTCCTTTTACCACTTCACTTCCACCATCAAAGAGCAGTAACCAGAAGTTTTGTTCTTCTTTCTAGAAATATAATCAGTTCATCATTTGTGAAGTATGATTTCTCAAGTAGATGCTACCATAAAATATTCAAATCATGGCCTTTAACCAAAACATACTCTTCTCAAAATTATTAAGAAAATAGTGTTTTTACTTGCCCTTTAAAGACTAGAAGATCTTATTTTCTGCATTCTAGTCATTACTAAGACTATCAGTTTATTCGGTGCAAGACAAGTTGTTATATGACAGTTCCTGATTATCAACAATCCCTCCCAGGGCCAAGTAGTGACCTTAAACAGGACTTCCGGCAGGCGGATAGAGACTGCGTGTTGGACTGAGGCTTCACCTCCCATGCATAATGCAGTGCAGTATGTTTACTCTCTCTGCTCCCCCCTCAAGCCAATGTGTCTGGCAATTGTGACAATCAAAAAAATGTCTTTCCTGCTCCCACTCAAGAAGCACAGTCATACCCAGAACCTCTTCCACACTGGCAGAATGATTTGGAAAGCAGACAGCCCTCTGTACTGGCTTTGGATGCTTCTGGAGCTGTGAGACTCTCCTAGGTTGCATAAAATCTCACTCTGTCCCTTTGCAAATATGCAAGGTAGTTCCCTAGAGATGGCACACTATCCCCGCCTTCACATGATAAAGTTCAGTGACACCCCCACTGTATCATGTAATTGGTGATTCCAAACTCCCTAAGGAAACCAGACCTGAGCACTGGGAGGAGACCACAACATGTCCACAGATACAAAGTCAGGCAGATTTCAGCTGGTAGGTTAGGGAGTGGCAGGATTCCCAAAATAAAGATACAAACTACACCTCCTCCCTCCCCCGATTTTTTCTCAAATAAAAACTGACCCAAAACACACTGCAAGAGTAGATACTTTGCCCTGATTTGCCAGTAATCCTCATTTTAAGCCAATCTTCTTTTCCATGCCATTTTGCCAACCTTGTACTAATTCCAACAAGGTCTGACATATTGCTGTGAATGGCCAACACTGTTCAAGTTGGGACATTTAATAAAGATTTAATTTCCCCAATTTTGTATTCAACTTCTTAAGCAGCTTAAACATCAACAATTATTTTCTCTCTTAAATGCTTCCTAATAATACAGTTAGATAAGTCACCAAACTTATCCCTTCTTTTTTTTTTTTATTACAAAAGTTTATTGTTACATCATCTTGTACATTTTTTTTTCCATCCCGATTGTAATCCCCACAGGTTTCCCATCACCAAATCACCCTTGTGCCATCACCATAATCCCGTGCATTTCTCTATCCCTTCTTTTTTTTTTTTAAATAACATCCATCCATCCATCATCCATCCATCATCCTTCCAGGACTTGAAGTGTAGACCATAAGTGCAGGGGGTGAGACAATTCACCAGAGACAGTGGGGAACAGAACAGGCCAACAGTCTGAAGGACACTGTTGAGGGGAGCAGCAGGTGAGACAGGAGATGTCTGCTGTGTCTTACGCATGTTAGCTCCCTCGCTGGAGACTGCCACAGAAGTGACAGTGGATAGTAATGAGACAACCATTACACCACCAGGGAGCTGCCTAGCTTATCTTTCTGCCTCAGTGAAGAGCAGGCCTTACTCCAAGCCATGCCAGGGAGGAGTAAAACAACTATGAACCTTCCTCTCCAAACAATCAGCAAAGGAGACTCAAGCCTCCTGAAATTGGGGTCAAGGAAAGCAAAAGCAATAGGCTCCATGCCTCAGTTTCCTTTTACATACAATGTGGGACTTGAACTTGCTCAACTCCAGAATCCTGTCCAGTCTGACAATTTGCACTTGAAGTCAATAGAATAACCATGTCAACAAAATCCAGAGATCCCAGGAAGAAATGAAGGAAAAGTTGCAGGGGCGAGGTGGTAATCACAGCAAGAATCCAGGCCTAGCAGAGGATGGGAGAGAAGAATATGCCGGCATTGAGCTCTTGTGTGGGGCCTGAGTTGTGTGTGACACTTCATACAACAGGGTGTAGGAGGTGCTTCTGGAAAAGCTTTCATGGGAAAGCTAGAAGAAAGGTGGAAGAGTGGGTTTTGTTGGGTCCTTCTTCCTAGCCGAGACAGCAAAGAGTGAAACAACATTACAGTGAATGCTTGGGAGGAGACTCAGGGCAGAGAACCAGAAACTGAGGATGGCTCATCATGACAGCCCCCAAAGTGTGTGAGCTTTCTATGACCTTACCAAAAAAGTCACCTATGGGCAATCTTGGATTTTTATTGAACATGGATAACTTCAAAAAAAAAAAAAGAAAGAAAGAAAATGGGCAACTTTTCTTAACATATACACCTAGTCTTTCAGCATCTTAAAATTTCTGTTGGGAATTCTAGACAGTCCTGCAGCTGCATTCAATTTAGAGCTCTACCCAGCCTCTTTCTGTGTTATCTTACAACATTTCATTCTTCAGTGTGTGGGAGGAAAATGTAACGTCTCAGTAGTCAAAATGGGAAAATTTTTAATTGGGTCATCTCCAACTCCTAGCAATGCTCCTCTTTCACCTGGCTCTGCTTGGTCTGAACGTACCTCCCTTAAGCTCCAAGATTGTCCACTTATTAAGTTCTCAGAGCCAACTCCCCCTGCCTTGGTAATCACAGCAAACCCTCTTCACCCAGACCTTGCTATTCCACTCCCTCCTGGGAGGGATCCACTGCCTGTCCCCGGGGAGCACGCACATGTTTGGGTTACACAAACACCCCCAGAGTCCACTGGTTCCTCTATCTCCACGAGGGAGGCTGCTGTTTCAGCAACATCTCCCTTCCACTGGGCACTGTGTTTCCACACAGTTCAACTACCAATGCTCAGTAATTTTTGTTACTGGTTTAGTCAGATTTTAAGTAGCGGCTGTCAGCTTGAAAATGGTTATCTTTGGGGAATATCAGAGCAGACCACACCAACCTCCATGATGATGCCTCTAAATGCAGGAGGAGGTGATGTTTTCTTTATCATCTCTCACTCAAGGACAACAGTGGAATTCTCTTGCACACTAAGTAGAATTTTGGCCACTTTTCCCATTGGGTTTATAGAAACCCAAATCCACTTTTTTATATGTGGGGTAAACTATTTTTATCTCATGTGTGATTAGGTATCCAGCAATCCACAAAGATGTGATTTTATTCTTCAGAGATATTCTGACAACAGAAAAGAAATGAAGCTCATGCCCCCCCCCCCTCCAAAATATTTAGGAAAAAAACAGAACAAAGAAAATAATGTCATCAGCCCTAATACCACCACTATAACAAATCTGGTTTCTCTCCTTCTGGAACTGTATACATAACTGTTTTATTTTAAATATGGAATATTCCATATTCACAGTTTAGTAGTCTATTTTCCTCTATGATTTTTCAATGTTTTTTACATGTCATTGCAAAAAGAGCCTGAGAGAAAAATCCTGGAATTAGCTGTATTGCTGTCATTTCTCCCCCCCAATTCCAAAAATAAAATAAGAATCAGGAAGGAAACACTTACTCAAGAAAGAGCTGACAAGCAGGACTCCAAGTGTGGGTTTTTCTGAAAATACTCATTGACTTGGACCTGAATCCCAGTCCACTGCTTTGTAGATAGCAGGTATTCAATGAACAGCAATGGAATTAATACAAATGAAAGGTCAGAAAGTAGACACCTTGGTGCAAGAGATTCTGTCACTGTGTCCCAGACAGACTGGGAGTCCAGGGGAGTTGGGATACACAGCCATCAGCCTAACAGCCGCCTGAATGAGCAAGCGTTCTGTAACTTGGTGCATGACTCCAAATAGGTACTACACCAAAGTCCTTTCTCCCGCCTCTAGAGTGCCTGTTTCTGATGGTCCTAACCCAGCAATTGGAGGTGTTAGACACAGAAAGAAAAAATGCCAGCTTGTTCAGAAGACAGTTGATTTATGTAAGGCTACTACCATCAGGATTATTTACTTTGACAAAGGACTGTAACACCTCTATGACAAGCTGAAATAAAATGTGAAACACAAAAAGAAAACTTTGTGTTTTATTATCAATGAACTGTGTTGACTAAAAAACATTTCTACCCTTTATTTTTCTCCCTCTAGCAGTCCTAGAAACATCTTCAACGTGAACTAGCCCCACCATAAGTCTCTAAAATACTGCCTAACCTAATCGTGTCTCACCATCTTAACAGCATTGTGGGTTTTAGCATAAAAGAGGGACGCTTCCTGTCTTTCTTGGACCAAGCACAGAAAACTGTACGTGGTGCTTTGTACTCTTTCCACAACAGCAGGACAAGTGGTATTTCCCTTGGATTAGAAAGTTGCCTAAATATGCTGGCACATACTCTCTCTTCCTCACTTTGTGCTCCCTTGCCCTCCAAAAATGCTTTAGCAATTAACATTCAATCACCCTTTAAAGGGCTGGAACACTCCATATGGTTCTCTACCTCATATAAATACAAGTAAGGCAAATGCAGGCCAAACACCTCAATTTTATGCTGTCATATTACCTTTTTTCCTTGAGCTATTTTCCCTCTTCCTCGGATGGTATTTGTTTTGTTGCACAGCTGGGAAACTTAGATAAATTTTTCTGTAGGCTTCGCAGACTTCAAAAGATGACCTGCAAAGATGACCTCAAGTAACTCTTAAGACTTACCATGAATATAAGATGCACCCAAACAAGACAGCGGTTCCCAGTCCAGTAACTAAGTTTTTATCTCTGTACAGGTCCTGACCAAAGTCAGGCACACAGATGGTAATGTTCTTCCCACGTTCATCTAGAACTTCAAAAGAAAAGCAATTCAGAAAAGCTTGTTGTAACTCACAGAAATTCATTCCGGGAAAATTCCAGGAAATGATGAACACTTTGCATTGAAAAATTCGAACTCTACAGTCCGACTCAACTCTGACTAGATTGCTGCTTTCTCAAAGCACTCCTTCCCTACTTGGCTCCCTCTTGCAAAAAGAGCAAGATGCCAGCTTAGTGCTAAAGGGTTCTTCAGCTCTAAGACCTTAAGAGAGTTGCTCTTTTGCAGTACTATTCAAAACAACACTGAAAGGTAAGCTTAGATCTCTTTTCCCACCAACATGGCAGTTTCTGAGCAAAGCTATTATGTGGGCCGCTGGGTGCATGTTTACGTGCACCAGAGGCACTGAGGCTGCTCAACAAGCAAACACAGTGCGGGGGGGGGGGGGGGTCCTGGTCCCAGCCCCCAAGAGGGATGGCACATTACTGCTGGTGCAGGGGAATGTCACTCTCTCCCCCTTGCTTCCTTTCCCCCTCTTTTTCCTGGGAGAGCTCCCTTCGGGGGTCCATTTCTCAAGGAAGATATTCATCTTGCTTCTTTCTATTGATCAGGCCTGTAAATGTTTATTTAAAAAATCAGAGTGTTCTTATAAACAGAATAGCTGTTTTGAAGATAGGCTTTTCCTCATCAGTACTCTGGTAAGCATTAATTCTATTATATTTATTACTGCTGGTAAACAAAAGCCTTGTTTACCAGGGGATAGTGTCAATATTTATATCATTTTGTTCACTGAATTTGGTGGACATAACTGTTCAATATTGATTGACTCACGATGTAAGAAATATGATGGTATTCATGCACATGCTCTTGAATGTTTCAAATGGTAATCTATGAGCACTGCTGATACTGGAGAGAATAAAATAACCTACACAAAGGTAGAGGAAAAGATAGTTTGTAGTTGGGGGGACATGCTGAGGTACTATGGATTTTAAAACATTTTTGAGGTTGTGAAACAAGGACTTCTAAAATATTATCAGCAATGGTAATTTATTTTTTGTCCAACAGAGTCTTCGATTTTTAAACACTCAAGCTATATGTGATTGCGAACTTTGTCCAAAATAAATAACATACAATAACAGTCTAGCAACTATTTTATAAGCATGCACATTCTAAGTGTTTTCAAGTTAGGCTAAAATTATTACTGGTCCTGACACGTGAAACAGTAACCATAAATGTGGTTTAGGAAATCTTTATTCTTAGGCCAATGGGAAAAAAAATGTTTTTAACTGACCAAAATATGAAAGTTTCTATTTAAATAGCAGCTCCTGAAATTAAAAACAAGTTTTGTTTTTAGTTTTATGTGATACCTATCATTAGGAAGAGTAATAATGTCATCACAAATCCCATTAAATTAAAAAAGCAAAGATTAATACATAAAGTCATATTTTTAAGATTTTAAATGAATCTATATTTAAATAAATGTAAAGTCAAGACAACACTTCTTTTAAAAAGTGAAATCCCAGATAGACCACATACTTAGTAAGGTCTACAATTATGTAACTTTTACTATAAATTGTTATAGAGACAAGAATTGTACACAGAACATGTATAAGCTAAAACTTAAAAAGAATTACCTACCATGCATTTGCTTTCTAAACTAAAAAAAAAACCTATTTTCTAAAGAGACCATTAATTTGATTTATACAAGATCAAATTTACCCAAACATATATATATACTATGTTGTGTGTTAACATAAATATACATAGATATTATCACAAAAGTTATAGAGATAATGAAATATGAGTTTGGAAATCAAAATTAAAGGTTTGTTTTTTTATTGGCAAGGTTCAGTAATTTTAATAACACGTACAGCAAAAATAGAGCTTTCATAGGTCTCAAATAATGATTGTTTAACTATATTACAAAATCCTTCTATAACATCTGCTACATGCCAGGAACTATACCTACGTATACAAATACACACATACCCAATTGAATTCTTAGAAGTCACCCTATAAAACTAGACTCTTAATTTAGTAATCTTGTTAAAATTCTTTATTTTAAAGGGGATAAGTAAATTTTGCACAAGTTACTTAAGTGGCCAAACTAGGGTGTAAACCCAGGCAGTCCAATTCCAAAGCTCACAGCTTTGGAAATAAATGTCCTTTAAGAGAGAAGAGTAGATTAATAACTAGTTGAAAACCAAAACGAAATAAAGCAAACAACTGTACTTCTTGGAACCAAAGCAGGAAAAGCAGATTGGGCTCAAGAGCCCACTCTGTCTTTCCTACCCAGTGGGAAGATTCAAAGGAGGAATTTTCACTTTCATGCTCCGTGCTAATTCATTCAACTAAATTGAATGAAAGGGTCCCTCTGTTTTGATTTATGGCACCCTTGATGTTTAAACAACGGTGACATGTTCCTTCTTGCATAAATGGGCCAGCTTACCTACTTCCAGAGGCTTGCTGGAGAGAGCCGAGAAGGTGAGATAGGTGACATAGCAGCTTATGAGACCTGACTGTAGTAACCCAGAGTTCGGCTGTCCTGGAGAAGACAGGTGACAGATCTTAAGGTGGTGTTTTACATCTCAATGAAAAGAAAGTACATAAAATAATAATAATAATAATAATAGGTCTCGCACTCCCAAATAATATTCCTCCAATTTAGACTGCCCCCCACCAACAGCAAAGGAAAGAAGAGATACTGAGGAGAAGGGAGCCCTACAGTGCACCTAAACTGCTGTTTTAGAGATAGCCAGTTCTCTAGTAACGCCTGTATTTTGACAAGGAATGTAAACAGCTGCCTAGTTCTCCTGAGGTGCATTAACACGAGTTTTTAAACCACATGATCTCAGAAGAAAATTTACCATCGTTATTTGTGAGACCACACAGCTTAGAAGGATCAATGATAAGACTTCACAGACTGCAAGGCCATCAGACAGTCCAAAGAGGGAGAAAGTTCTTATCTGTCAGTGGACAAAAAACCGTTTGTGTGGGAGCTTGGATTATTCTGTGTCCTCGCCTTGACTTTTCTGTGCCCTTCACCCAGAGACGAGGAAACCTCGCAGGGCAAAAGTCCTGCTGTGAGAAACGTGCTGAAACAGCAACAGGGACTAGGCTTGCTCGGCTAAAACCCCGAGGCCTCCCTTGACTCTCCCCCAACGTCTTCTTGCTGCTTTGACTTCTTATCGTCCACTTGATTCTAAATAAACACGAAACTGCACTTGGAACAAGTATTTCAACAATGTACTTTCACCTTCCTTAAGGGAGTTTTCTCGGTGTAGCTCCGCTAGGCGTCTCACGGTCCAGCACACTTGGATAAGAGTAATTTTTTCTCATCCCTCACCATGTGTCATAAGGAGCCAAGCTTGGAAATACCAGTGCCAGTCCAAGCCCAAGAGGCAGGTTACGGGACTCGGCCTTCGCTGGGAAAAGGGCCTTAGGGCTCCAACACTCAAAAGTGTTTGCATTAGTGTGACCAGGGTGGGGTAAGAGCGGTAAATTTTAGGCCACCTGCTGACATGAATGGATTTGGATTTACCCAAGTATTTCCAGAATTATCATTATTAATTATAATAACTAATAGAGGTATAGAAATAGACCCTGCTTGCTAGCATGGGAATAAGAATTACCTGACTACTGAATGGCATTAACCAAGGATTTAAAAATATTGTAACTATTTCAAAAGATAGAATTTAACTCAAAGGATAAGTTAATCAGAATACTAACAATGCTTTGGGAAATTCTTAACTAACCAATTAAAGAGAATGGAAGAACAGAATTCTCAGTTTCAATAGTGGACTTGATATTTTAAGTACAGAAAAGCTTTTAAATTATTCAATAATAGTGACTTTTAGAAGAACTAAAAGGCTATAAAATTACAGCCATATTTTGTGTTTCCTGTGTGGAAACTTGAACATCATGTGCATTGCCACCACCTATAAATTAAGGTAACACAAATTCTTTTAGACCAGGGACATTTCTTTCCATAATCAAAGCTAGTACAATGACTTAAGATGTTAGAAGTCATTTATAAAGGACAATTCAAATCTATAATCCAAAGCACTTTCAAGTTCCATTGTCTTTTCCTCTTGCCTTTGAAATAAGCATAAGCAAGGTTGTGCTCACAGGTTTCTGCTGGCTTCACTGTAGAAGGACTTAGGTCTGAGGAAGGTTAGCCAGATAAGAAGGAATCAGATTTTCTTCCCTCTTCCTCCCTAGACCACACAGTCCCTGATTTCTGGCCCATAGGCACTAAATGAAAGATGAACCAGAAACAAGTATAGGGTGTAGGGGGGACAAAAACAGGGCATTTTCCATTATCTAATCAGTGCAATGTTTTTCTTCTTATTATTGACTTTGTTACATTCAAATCTTTCTCTTTTTCTTTACATACATACAGAAGAACTAGGGTGTAGGTCAGAGTTATGTGTGTGTGGGGGGGGGGGGTTCAGAGGATTTACCAGTGACAGAGTAGGAGCAGAATAGGCAGATCTACTGAACTACAGCAGTGGGAGACACAGGAGAGGTCTGCTGCACTTGTGTGGCTTAGCTCCCTGGCTGGGGATTGAACTCAGGCTGTAGTAACGATAGCACTGAGACTTAGTCCCCAGGCCACCAGGGAGGCCCACATTCAGATTCTTTCTTGACAGGGCACATGTAGCATATCCAGCACAGGTGTGTGACAGAAGAGGAGACTGGAGTCCCACCTTTTTGTTATTGCTGACTCATTCATGTTACATTAAGGAATGATCATAATTTAAAAAGAAAAAACATACAGGGTTTGCTCAAAGACACCTGTGAGGAAGAATGGAAAAAACCTGTTACTTACGGTTTTGGACACAGGGTGAAATGGCTACCATTGAGATAAGCAGACACAGCCCTCCGTTTACCCCCAGGAGGATTTTGTTTTCCGCACAGCCATCTCTCTGTGTATAAAACACTGCCATCAAAATCAAGCCTCCGGTGGCAATGGAGTACATGACGAGGGTCACCAGGGCGAGAGAGGCATACCACAGCCTGTTGGTTTTAGTCCCTGCAGTCCTGTTTCTCCAGGAAGTGGGTAAGAGGGAGGCAAGAGAAAACAAGTCAGTGACGTCTGACAACATGTAGAACTCCTCAGGCATTCGCAAATGCTATCCAGACCTAGAAGACCTATTGCCTTACGAAGATTGTAGCTTTTCCAAAAACTAAAGGTTGGGGTAAATTTGCAAAAATTTCTTGGTTTAAGTTGAGATTTTTTTTTTTTTAGACAATAAACTCCATCTTTGATTCAAGTGTGTTCGACAACCTATGTGATATCTAGACTATAGATTCTAGCTTCTTGGTAGGTCTGCTAGACTTCCCATATACAAAGGTCAATACCGTAAGGTCAGTGAGTCATAGCAAAACCTTACAAGAGTTTTCAAATCAACCAAGAGTGGAAAGCTTTATCGCTCTAGGGAAGCTATGCATCACAAGGTATGACCAGGAGCACCCAGGCGGTGAGGCTGATGTAAGACAAGGGACCCCAGAAACCAATCAGTGGAATGCATGCCTTACTGGTAAGTTTAGAATCACAGCCAGGGGTTTGGTTTGATTACAACACTTGGTCATCAAACAGATAAAAATTATCTGGTCAAGGCGAGAAAATAATAATGAACAACTATATACCAGAGACATTTTATGGGGGTGGAATGGGATCAAAAATGGTTGGGGGAGGGAAATACACTGGACTGTGATGATGGCACATGGGTGATTTGGTGATGGGAAGCCCATGGGGATTGCAACTGAGATGGAAAAGGCACAAAATGATGGAAAAATAAACTATTATGTTATTTAAAAAAATTCTGGTCAGCAGACACGTGTCCCCCCAACAAAACCCTAGATGACAGCATATTCTTTAGCTTCTCCTTGTTTTCCTACCCCTCGTAACTGATGCTGTAGCATTATTCTATAAATCAAAAGGCTAGGATTCGCTTGTTCTGCAGCATCCTGCACTATGCAGCTGCTCCCTGACTCCTATTTATCAGTGTGGTGTTGCCAACGCAACACTTCTCCATTCTGTATTTGAATTAACTTTGGGCAGGTTTTGGCAGGATTAATAAGTGGTTCTTTGCAAGAGTTCTCTTCCTGTTTTTCTGTAAACACAAGAGACTAGAAGTGGCAGTGTCTCTTACTCCTGCTGCTGTCCATCTTCTCATTAGTGAGAGATGCAAATGTCTTTCCTTCACCCAGAGACAGGCTTTTACGCCTGCTTTGAAGAGAAGGCTTGGTGCTAGTACTACTTCTTCAGAATAATGCCGAATGATGACTTAAGGGGGAATCTGATGTTAGAAAGAGTGGAGAGGGGCCTCCGTGGTGGCGTAGTGCTTGAGTTACAGCACTATCAAGATCTGCCAGCCACTGCAGCATGAGTTCAATCCCAACCTGGAAGCTGGCCCACATGATGTGGCAGACCTCTCCTGTCTCACCTACTGCTCCCCTCAGCAGTGTATTTCAGTTAATCCACCTGTTCTGCTCTCCACTCTGTCTCCGGAGAATCCTCTCACCTCCCTCCTTCTGTATCTCTTGCCTACACCCCAGTTCTTATATGCATAAATAAATAAAATAAATCTTTAAAAAAAATAAGAGTGGACAATAAAATTAGTAGGAAAAGAAAAATTCATGATGAGATTTACAAAAAAACTTAAGAGACTGATGTGCTTTCAGTTAATGAAAATATTGATAAAAGGAGGGAGAAATAGTAGCAGTTTAACCACCTACAGAAATTGTTCAGAACAAAGAAAAGAGTGTTTATAAATGTCAAGCGAAGAGGATAGAACAACAATGGGAGGGGACGGGTATAGATTGCATCACTGTCATCTGCCTAATGATTAAATTGTCCTTTGTACCCACATTTTCACAAACCTTCACAGAGAAAGCAACTTCTTAATGGCTCCACAGAACTGGAAAGTGTTCAAGCAACCCAGCTAAAATGTCTTAATGATGAAAAGTTACTGCAGCCAGAAACAAAGAAAATAGGAATGGCCAAAATGATAGTGACCATCATATTCCTGAAACTGAGCCAGGCACTCCACTCTGATGACCACAGAATTTTTCTGCTACAAAAAGCACACAAAGAAAACAGAGAAAATGAAATCCAAGAAAGGAGGGAAAATGAAACTCATGAAAATGAGACCCAAGGAAGGGTAGGGGAAAAGAGCCAAATAATAATCAATGACAGGAAGACAGAATGAATTATTATATAGAAACAAGCGAACACATGGACTGGTATGTGGGTGGGGTTTAACTGTTTTCTTCACTAGCCTTCTAGGTTATGTTATTAGTGTATGAAGAACTGCCTTATAGTTCATTTCCACTAATATCTCAAGTTATATTCTGAACTCTAACCTCTGCCCTACACTCCAGATTCATATTATTTAACTGTTCAACAGGGGAGGTCTAACTGGCATGTCAACCTAAGCAAAGTCCAGTGTTGCTAATACTGAACCTCCACATCTCAGACCTGTGCTTCTATTATCTTCCCAGCCTCAGAAATGGCCAACCTGTGTGTGTGTGTGTGTGTGTGCTGGGAGGATTACAGTTGCTCTTGATTGCTGTCTTTCTCTCCCTGATGCTCTCACATGGACACACCATCACTACCAGCAAATCCCAACTTCAGAATATTCCAGAATCTGACTGCTGCTATACCATTTAGCTCAACTACCTAGTCTCTAGTCTGAATCATCCTACTGGTCTCCTTTCTTGCATCTCTGGCTCTGTTGGATCGCGGACTTTAAAAATAGACATTTTGATTACGTTCCTGTGTCAAACCCTCTGGCACCCTTCCCACTCATGATCTGGCTCAGTGCCATCTCTGATTTCAGCTCCTGCACCTTTTCTCACGCCTGGGTCCAGCCATACTGGATGCCCTTTTGCTCCTTAAACAAGCCCAAAATACACTCAGTCCTTTCTCAAACTCAACTTACTTTTTTCCCCTCCCATCTTACAATACCTTTTCCTGCTCTGCTCCCTAACACTGCTTTCTGATTCTCCAAGCGCTTGTCACCACTGAACACATTAGTATTTGCTTGGCCATATGATGACCACCTGTCTTCTCTGCCCCTTCCCCAGGAGGCTGTAAGCACCACAGGGCGGGACATATATCAGTACAAGGATCCTTGATGGCTGAAAACCACCTTTAGCAGCAATGTTAGCAGACTGGCTGCTATTCCCGCTAAGCCAGATTCCTTTACTCTTCCTGATGACAACTTGTTTTTGCAAACACAACTTCTTTATCTTTATTTATACTCTTGGAGGCTGCCACATTGTCTGGCACACAGCTCATACTCTAAATATTTTCAATCAGTGCTGAAAGAGAAACACTTGTGAGGAATCAGAAAAGGACACACACTTGGGAGGAATCAGAAAAGAACACGGCAAGGGGTGAGAGCTCAGAGAGTAGGGAGTGACGGCCAGGCTGAGTACTGGCTGCATGAGCAACATTCAACATATGAACATTCAGAAAATGGGTTTCTGTTAGAAATACCTGAAAATATAATGTACTCCTTGTTATTTTCATTCTTACATAAAATTGACCTTTTAAATAAAATTTAAGCTGGAAAAAAAGAATCCCACATTGAACATCTAGTCCAACCATATTATTTTGCAGGTGTGAAAACCGAGGTCAAGGGGCCAAGTGATACGCCTCAAATGAAACAGCTACCTAGGGACAAGAGGTACTAAAAAATCTGCGATCTCTTGGCTTCCAGGCCCATGACCTTTCTCTTCTACTGCCTTTGGGATCTCCTCCTTCCCCACAGTAAAAAGAAATGAAAGAAAAAGCAGTGGTTGTTTTGTGAAGCGTGATGAGAATTTTATTTTCTGTAATTTGTAAGCAAACCTGTTAAAAACATACACTCCCCCCCCCAAAAAAAAACCCTTACAATACTAAATGAATTTACATGAAAATAACAATATGAGAGAGCTTCTTAGGTGAATCCTAATTTTGGACATACAAATCAATATTCTGTGGGAATATTATCTTCAAAGTCTGAATAACAGCAACGTCATTTGCTACAAAATTCTTAAGTCATTCTCACTGAATGGTTTCTGGAAAGTTTTACAGTACCCAAACTCTTCCGAAATGCCTGTTAAAACTTGGTATCAATAATGAGGCCCAGAAAATGATTTCAGAATCAATCAAACCAATTAAAATCAAGTGAAGAAGTACAAGTATTCTCAAGAGAACATATGATTTAATGGACAAATAAGGCACTGTTTCCAAGCTATTAATATTTCACCATGAAGTTCACTACTAGAAGTAGATTTCTGAAAACTAGCAAAAATTTCAGATGCTACCTTCATTTTCATCTAATAAAAAAGTCAGAGTTAAAGTATAGTGAGGACTATCATGACTCTACCTAGCGGTCCTTTGCTCAATGTGTTCAGCAAGAAATAAACTAGTTATTAATAGTTTGACATTTCTTACTTATTATGGAATGTAAACTCTATTTTCAAGATCCTAAGAAAAGCTCTGTATTTTTTCAATACAGGATGGCTTTCTAGAAGGTAGTACAAGAGATGTGCCCAAAGAAGGAGTCCTTCCACTCTCAGGCAGTTCAAATGGGATAAGCTTTTGTTTTGTTTTTTAAGAAATAAAGAACTACCTCTTATTCTTTATATATTCTTTACAGAAGGTGAACTTCCAGTCCCAAAATGCTTATTTGTTTTACTCTCCTAAGGATGGGAGCCTAAGATAAAGCTTACCCAAGTTCTCAGCCGCCACCACCCCAGAGTCAGGCTGGCAGGGGCCAGCACTGGTGTGATTAAGTCACAGCAATGGTTAACCTGGAGTCCAAAGGAGAGCACCAGTCAAAAAGTGAAAGGAAGGAAAGTAAAGAAAAGGGAAAGACAGTATTGTCTGGAGGGTGGAGTTAATGAAGAATCCAGAGGGCAGGAGAGAAGGAAACTTGCAGGAAAAGTCATTTGGTGTGAACTGCTAATAATGCCAACCCAGCTTAGATAAGCGCCTTCATTGGCATTGGGCCTTGGGCAGTCCCCCTGTGTTCATGGGCAAACATAAAGGGTCATACCAGTTCTTGTTCCATTTGTGTGCAAATTCCACGAGCAGGAGGAGCTGGATGGCTATGAAGAGGAAGCCACCAATGGCTCCCACATAGCGCCAGGCTGCAAAAGAAAAGACCATCCAAAAGGAAATGAGGAGATTGTCCCTATAGTTTAGCTCAAGAGAAAGAAATAACCACACCTCATTTTTATGACATGCTTATTGAGTCCATAACACATTTAACTCCCACAATAGCACATAAGTGAACACTATGCTAACACCCACTTTACAGATGAGAAGAAAAAGGAAGTCCTGCCATCTGCAAGGGATGTGCTTGGTATAGGCACAGACAGTCTGGTTCTGAAGCCCCCAACAATAAGCTCCATGTTGCAGATGCCAGATAGCCTAACACTGTAGTAATTCATAACATCAACAACCTACCATTCAAAGATAAAAATGTTACAGGGTGGTCCCCAGGGAAAGGGGGGTTGTCAGGTTACCTGCCCCACCCAGGGAAGGGTGAAGCTGAGAGGGCGGAGGAGACTTGGAGGAAATATATGAGGCAGAGACATATGAAGAAGCTGTGCTTGCTTCTTGGCCTTGGACTTGTATCAGGGACTTAAGGGACATGGAAAGCAACGCTTGAAAAAGAAGAGGATGAGACCCGCGCAGCATTTATCTTGACTTGGATTTGGCTCTTTTCCTTCCAGACTTGTCTGGCTGTTTCTGCCCCTTTCTGATGGGTCTCCACCAGAAGGTGCCTTAGATTTGTGGCAAGCTTTCGGGTGTAAGCAGTTCTGCTTTGGCCCCACCCTATTAGGCGGGGCATTTACCCACCGAGGCAAGAGGAACTTTGGGTGCTTAATTAAAAATTTTATTATTTTTCCTATGGTGATGGCACACTGATGATTTGGTGATGGGAAGCCCATGGGGTCTACAATTGAGATGGAAAAAGGCACAAAATGATGTAAAAATAAACTATTATTTAAAAAAAATTTTATTCTTTCTCTTGTTATTACACATTAATTATATTAAGTTTTTTTCTATTGAAGTTCTTAAGTACTAGAGCATGTTCTATCTTAATATGGCAGATGACAGGAATTATTTAGAGCAGTAAGGTTTGGGGGTTCTGGGGTGCCCTTCACCCTGCTCCCTAACAAAAACACTTATCACCAGGAAAATCAAGGACTAAAATTATATTGGGCAGAGACCCACCAGTGTCCAGTCCAAAGGACTGAAATGAGGTTCAGGCTGGGGGGAGTCTAGGACTCAGATTCCACTTCTGATAATGACACAGAGAAGCTCTGACTTTGGGTGAGTCATGTCACATCTCTGGGTTACAGTTCGTCTACAAAAAGGACCGAGCTAAACTACAGCAATGCTAGTTTAATTCCCACTCTAAGTGGGTTATTTTAATATATAAAAATAACTCTCTGGGGAACAGAAAACTAGGTAACAAACAGTATTTTAGGTAAAACAAGACTCAGACACAACTTCTATAAGAAATATTTAAAACTAGTACAACCCAGAAAAAAACAGAGGAATCCTAAACTGGTACTTGACAGACTGTAGTTGTTGCTATAACTGATAAAATGTGTAAATTCTTACTATCTTAAATTAGAATAGTAAATCCATTTGGGCTGAGCTAAGCAATGCTTTGAACCACTGAAACTCAATTTTCTCTGCTAGTTCTTATGAAAACACACACATATACGGCCCTCCTGCCTTTTAGCCATGATTACAAACCTTTGTGTTAAATTAATTTTGTTAGATTCTACCAGTAGGGTATAATTCAGTGTTACACAGATTCCTGTAGCAAAAGTTTAGAAATAGATGGAGAAATGACTTTCTTATCCCATTTTAGTTACAGATCAGATTTACAGCTTCTAAGAAGCTCCCTGACTTCCCCCCACCCCACACCACCTCACCCCCACTCTGTGTGGCTGGGTTTTCTGTGCAGTGCTCACAAAGAACAAGTCTCCCAGGGCCTCTTCAAACAAGGCTGGTGGTGTCCTGCTGACATGCTAAACTGGTTTTCAAACAAATTTTAAGTGCCTCATTTTCCCTTCAGGCCATAACCTTAAAATTATCATTTCAATTACCCAGTCAGAAAAATAAAAGTCCTCACAGGCCCAGCCAGGAAGGGAGGGAAGGAAGGAAGGAGGAGGCAGATGGGGGGGGTTAGAGTGGGAAGGGGAGTGGGTAGATCTTTTAAGTCACAAGAAAATTAGAAATTTGAATTATTAAATGCACCCTGGCCCTAAGTCATTGACCAATTTTACAAAATGGGTAAAAACAAAATAAATAGATACCAAAAATACCCCATTTGTACCATTCAGAAAGGTCTCCTGGTCTGGAATGAAGAAAGCTCCTGAGCACATGGCCCCCAGCAGCAGGAATTTACAGAACCAAAAGCTGGAAGGTAAAAAGGAGGAAATGTATTCAAATGATATTCCAGGACGAACAAAAGCCCCCTCAGAAGGTAAGCATGTCAAGCCATGATTCTGCCATTGGTAGTGTTCTCTCCAAATTGAGGGGAAGTAATTAAGTGATGGGGACTGCCTTTTTCCAGTAATTAGACAACTCTGCCTGGCCTCTGCTTGTACAAAACATCATTTTGTTGCAGGAATGGAAATGACCTGAGGAAAGGTCTTAGTACCAGAAACAAAAGCCAGTCTCCACTGCATTTCTCATTATGGTAGCAAGGGTTACAAACAGGATTTTAGTTCTTAGGCCACAGTGTGGTGATAAGTTTAAGTCTCACCTTCCCTAAATCCAGTGTTAACAATTTCAAGAAGAGAAGGAGCAGCCAGAGGTGAGAGAGCCTAGGTAAATTAAAATGTGAGCCTGCAGAAGCGAGCTGTCCAACTTCCAGCCTGAACAGATGGACTCACTCACAGCTGGCAGGAGCTGTTGAACATCTTATTGTAACAACCCATATGGTATTTCCCAGCGGACTAACAATTGCCACACCCTAACGGATGGTAGTCTACCCTAACCATTCTGGTGCTGTATCCTGACAGGAGGTACCATACATCCTGATAAACTACTGCTACTTTAATAATAAAAAGCCACACCATAGCCCATAAGGGAGGATTCTGAGTTCCCAGACAGCAGAGTGACCAAGGTCTCAGTAACGTGTTAAAATGCACACCTCTGAGAGGAGAGTTCAGATGCCAGCTACACATGCAATGTGTGAAGAAGCATCAACCCTTCTGTGTGTGCCCTAGTGCAGGCCAGCCAAACACTGTCCCTTCTGCCCCACCCTGGTAGATAAACCCTTTTAAAAACCCATTCTTAGCTTTTCTGGGAGAGCCAGTTGTCTCGTGTTTCATGCAAAGTCAAATAACACATTTTCTGGATGTGGTCTGTCTTCTCTCCTTACTGAATTTGACAAAGAAGCAGAACCTCTGTGGAGTGCCCAGATCAGGCCCCAGAGGGTCTGATGAGTAGGAAGCTCCTGGAACACTGCTCTGATTGTCAGGAGAAAGGAGAACCCCTGAAAATGAAGACTTACCCATTGTGGATATAGGCTCTACAACTTTTGCTGTTGTTGATTTTCAAGGTCAGGAGGCAGAAAATAAAGAAGAAACAGGCCATTCCAAAACAGACTCTATATACTGCAGAATACCCCACCAGATTCTCGCAGGTGTCGCCAGCTTTAATGCCTTTACAGATATCTTCGAAATAAGGAATCTGAAAGAAAAAAGAAAAAATGTCATCTGTGAAAATGGGGTGAAAGATGAATTGTCGTGGACTGCGCCCTCAGCCTTTCAGTAGAAGTCCTAGGTGAAAATGTACCACATGCACAGAGAAACAAAGACCAAGAAGAATCTTTTCCCCAGAAACTTCCTAATTCTCTCTGAATCCTTTTTAAAGATATGGCTCTCCCAGTTTTAATACCCTTAAATGATAACTGAAATATAGAATTAGGATTTCTAACAATTACACATGTAATACATGTATACATTTTTGTTGAAATGCAAAAATAAAGAGAATAAAAAGAGACTTCATTCTCATACAAAATATTGCTGTTCTCAACATTGCTAACAATTTAGTGGGTGTTTTAAATTAGTTCACAAATACAAATGTGTGTGTGTGGGTATACCCCATTAATATACAACATGTAACAACATACTCACAACATGTAACATTCATGCATGCACACACACATACTTGTACTGTACCACATGCATAGTGTAAATATACAGCTTTATTAAATAAAAGATTGTGTGTATTGTTCTGTAATTTGTTTTTCCAATTAATAAGTTATGGCATTCTTTCCCTATTATACAAAATTCTAACCTGCCTTTTTTAACTGCTACATAATATTTCACAGTAAGGAGAGATTAAAATCCATAAGCATACCCATAATTGAGTTTTTTACTTTTGTTGTGGAGCAATTTTTGTTTCATTTTGTGTATCTGTCTTTTGGATATTATGAATACTGACTCAAAAAGTATACGGTGCACCCCTTAGTGGTGGTTGTGCCATCGTTTGTGTGGGATAGACCGGAGCTAGAAGCAGAAGTGGAATGAACCAGCTATGTAGCAGTTACATTTTAAAATTTCAAAAGTAAAGTCAAATCACACTTTCAGCGACTGCACCGATGTAGATTCCACCAGTAATAGCTGAAATTGGTCATATTCCCAATCTGAACACCCAATTTAAGGGTCAGAGCTTTCCTTAAATCAATAGCCATCTTTTTTCCTCTGAATTAACCGTTAGTGCGTTTTATCTTCATCCACTGAAGCACAACATTTATGGTTGTCAATATTCTGATAAACGTTAGCAATGGTTTATGCTTGTCCAATTACAAGGTTTCAATGCAAAGCTATTTATATTATCAGAATAGTTAAAATCTTCCATAGTGAGAATAAGCAGTACATTTCCATTAATGTCAGAACAAAAGGATTTAATCAATGGCTAAAAAAACAAAAACAACAGAAATTTGCTTGTTAACAAAGTCGAACACTCTTCAGCACAAAAAATAAGTTCAAAATCACCTTATGACTACTAGTCACAAAACAAAAAATATAAGATTAGGAGAAAACCACATAAAGCTGGTGGTAAAACTGAAGCATGACAATTTAGTTTCTACTCCAGAAAATATTTAAAGAAATAATAGTAACTACTATTATCTACTAAGAAGCAATAAAAGCTACTAAGATTTCTGTAAGCAAAAGGGAGATTAAATTTAATTAGAGTTCACCTTCTAGATGAATGAGGGGTCTCTTCCCTCTGAAAAGAACTATAGTCAGTACTACATCTAAATCAAAAAAGGGCTTTTTCAAATATGTTTTTCCAAAATAAAACTAGGTTTTCCAGATTAATACCTCAGACAAAATCCCACTGTTACTGAGGCCATATGAGCATAACTCCAATTTTATGAAAGACTCCATGGAGATGTCAAACATTTTGTAGTAAGCAAGTTCCTGCCACTACCAATCTTTTAGTTGAGGACACAGAAGAGAGACACTGCTATATTTTTTAACTTGGTGACCAAAAAACATAGGGTGCCATATAAAATACAAAATATCTAGTTAAATTTAACTTCAGATAAGCAACAACTAGTTTTTCAGTGTTAGTTTGGGGCAGAGACTAAAATGGTATTCCCAGGCAAGAGACGAAGCTCCAAAGAAGCCTGAGTCTCATGGGAGCGGCAGGTAACTGCCATGCTAAGAAGTCTTCCCATCCAGTCAGCAAGGAGATGGGAAATGACTGGCTGGGGCAGGAGGGTAAGTTAGGAGACAGCAGGTTTAAGTAGTGTAAGTACTGGGTGAAGAAAGCAAACCAGTGGCAGGGAAAAAAAAGAGATCCAGGAGGCGGAATCCATAGTTGGCAGGACTGCACAGGTGACAAAGTAAGTGGAGAATAGGGGGAAGGGTCTTTCTGCCTTTTTTGGTTAGGCGGAGTGTGGGAGTGTGCAGGGTTAGCAGAGGACAAAGACTGGAACTGGAAGAACAGACCAGGAGTTCATTTTCCCTATAGATTGGGTGGTAGCTGGGGCATTCGTGGACAATGCTTGGTCTGGAAATTGCTTCAGAACAGCAGCATGAAATATGGGAAAAGCATCTCCACGCAGCTAATGAGAGAAGTTGTTTCAATGTGGATGAGCAAAGTCAGAGGGTTAAAATCAGACAATGAAGTCACGGGACGCCACACTAACAAGAAACAAAAACTACGCTGGTGTGAACAGTTCAGTAACAGGGAAGTTAATATTGCATTAAGTCTATAGAAGCTATGTTGGTGAAAGAATCACACCCACTCACTTTTTAGGTTGCCCATATTATTTATATAGAACTTATCATTCCATAATGTCCATTCAACTCTTTTCCTCCTCCCTTCCCCATTCCACTAGCAGCAATGCTATCTCCTGATTCGGCCCCTCATACATGCATGTACCACAGTAATGCATGCACACCTGCACCCCTTTCACCCACACCAATCCATCTTTCACCTTTAGGTTCTTCTCTACCTCCCGGACCCAAATGCTTATTCTTATCTTCTTTTCTTCTAAAATCTATTTTGAGGAGAATGCTGATAGACTTGAGTTTCTATCCCATCATCGCCCACAGTCCTTTCTTTTATGGGGCCCTGAGTATGTGGGATTGCATATTTTATCCAAAATAGAAGTAGGGAAATGTCCCCCTGCTCCAAATTCTAAGACTTGTTTTATGTTCTGTGGGTGACTTGATTATTGAGCCTTCTGTAAAGAGTGAATATTTTTAAGTTAAGGACCTTCAAATTGAAAAAGCTGGCAGGACTTAGCAAGGGGAATTTGCTCTGATTAAATATTTGCTGTTCCTAGTTTCATCCCAGTTTTGGAAACAAACACACATCACACACAGATTCCTCACTGTGGGGCTGCTAAGGGTGTTGCCTCTGAAGTCTGGTTCTGGGCATTCAAGGACACTTGGCATCTCAATGGATTTCATACACAACTGAGGGCAAGGGGCTTCCTCCCAACCCTCAAGGCAACCAAATAAAAGCCACAAATTGCCAGTAAGAGAAACAGCTCACATGTCCAGCCCTAATTCCACTTCTAACTTGGGCAAACTATAAACTCTCAATGAGCCTCAGTTTCCCTATTTGTTTAAAGAAATAATACTACCATTCATCTCATCAATAATCCTGAGAGTGAAAGTTATTTTTTTAATATTTTTAAAGATTTTACTTATTTATTTTTGTAAGAAGAACTGGGATATAGGTCAGAGGTGCATGGGGTAGAAGGGTGAGAGGATTCAGAGACAGAGTGGGGAGCAGAATAGGCAGATCTACTGAAATACACTGCTGAGGGGAGCAGTGGGCAAGGCAGGAGAGGTCTGCTGCCCTGCATGTGGGTTGACTCCTGACGGGGAATCAAACTCACACCATCGAGGTGTTAGCACTTGAGCTTAACCCTAGACCACCGGGGGTTCCAAAAACAGTTATTCTTTGTAAACTTTTTACCAAGTTCCAAATCCATAGTACCCAGAAAGTAAAGTACTTTAATTCTTAGGTACTACCTATTTTATAAGAACTTTGGTGGACCTTTGGTAGCACAGGGGTTCAGGCTCAGCACTATGAAGCTATCAGCAGCCACTGCAGCAGGAGTTCAATCCAGGGCCAGGAAGCTGACACACATGGCTGCAGATCTCTCCTGTCTCACCCCTGCTCCCCTCCAGTAGTGTATTTCAGGAGATCTGCCTGTTCTGCTCCCCACTCTGTCTCTGGTGAATCCTTTCGCCCTCTGCACCTCTGGCCTATACCCCAGCTCTTGCATGTGTAAATAAAATCTAAAAAAGAGAGAGAGAACTTTTGTGGGAGGCAGCAAGGCACAATACATTAACCCCTGAATGGTTGATGCATTCTGACTTCAACACAGGGGAATGAGCACCTTAAAACTCAGCACTCTATTCACTTTACCAAAGATTCTGCTCACTGCAGAGTAATTTTCAAAAAGGTGAATCCTTTCCTGGCACACTTACATAAGAACTGAGTTCCATAAAACAGCACTCACCTACTTATCTTTCAGACACCCAGTTGTCACCCAACATAAAGTACATCTGAACTACCAAATCAGGAAAAGACAGATCCAAAAAAAATCAACAAGTGTCAAACTCAAAATGGGAACTACCAGAAAATCCACATAATTTTGTCTCCATGGTTGAAATGCTATCTATGTCCCCCCCACCAAATCTCAGGCAAATAAATAAAATGAAATAACAAAAGAGCTACAGAAATGCTTTACACATTGAAATGGTCAGGAGTCCAGATGCTATAGTTAGGGAACAAGTATAGACTTTGGGAGTGGTTCTTACAGAAGTAGAAATGAAGAAGTTGACAGTCATGTTCCTATAACATTTACGTATTATTTGGGAGAGATGAGAAAATGGCATATAAATGATTCTTACATTTCACTATATCAAATTTCTATTGCATGAATAAAACTATACTGTAGAGAAAGCTTTGGCAAGTTTTGATTAAAATCCCTTACTTAGAAGAAGAAAAACAAGATTGGCAAGTTTTGATTAAAATCCCTTACTTAAACTCTTAGAACAGAGAGCCTCTCAGTTTGCCTTTAATTTCTGATATCCCATGTATCATTGAACTTCCAGGTTAATTTGTTTTTCTCTGTGGAATAATCCCAGAATTTGTGACAGTATTATTTACCAATGGCAAGAAGCTGTGAAGCAGATGCTAAAAACTGCTTC